TAGTAGTTAGTAGTAGTAGTAGTAGAGAGAGAGAGAGAGAGAGAGAGAGAGAGAGAGCAGAAGACTGCACTGTTTGGACGAAATGGATATTTAAGGGATTTAATTACACTGACTTGATGAGAAAAATAGCACAATAACCTCAAATCGCAGTTGGTTTGTTATTGGAAATGAAAGAAATGCGAAATGACAATGGCAATTTCTGTTGAAAATTCATGAAAGTGAGGACAATGACATGTATCAGTCCACTGTTCTGGAGCATAGCTGCTGGAACCTTGTAGGAAAGGTCACGGACCCACTTTAGAACCTCGATCCCACGATTCCAGATAGAGATCTTGGATGGAACACGGATCCCTACATTGTGATCCTCGTTCCTAGAGAGTTTGAACCGCAGTTCTCAAGTGTATGATGTAGTGCATATGATGGTTTCTCTATTCGACACTGCTTCATATGCACTAATTCAGGTTTGTGCCCAATGGCACAGTGAACTCACGCATCGTTAGCGATCCCTTAAAACTTAGCGATCCCTTAAAACTTACTATTGCGATTCCTTCCTCATGGAATTGCGCTTCCCTATGACAAGGATCACACTTCCTTGATAGATGATCGTACAGACGACGATCCTAACCACAAGGAGCTTCCAACAATCCACGGTTCTGCAGACCCGAGCTAGCTCCTGCTCTCAAGACTGTACCCACACCCGACAACTATGTTTTGGAGTATGGGGCCAGGATTCTTGAAGATTGATAAAAGAGGATTATTTCCACTTTACACCATATAATGCCAATAGAAGGTTGGGAGGGTTAAGGCTATCACTTAGTTCCTACATTTAGGAGGGTTAAGAGCTTCAAACATCACGTGATAATCTTCTTTTATTATGAATAAAGAACAAAGGACTTTTTCTAAAATGGCCTTTTATGGCTTCTTCTTTGGAGTAGTTTAAAAAATTATCCATTAAATGTAAATCTACTGAAAGTCAAATTTATTTAGATAATTAGTATAATTTATGTGACTGTTAGTAATCTAACATAAGTATCTTTCAGGGTCTAACATATCTGTCTTTTAGGATAGAATAGGCTCCCAAGAATGGCATCATTCCCTCTTTTGTGTTAGTGATGATATTTCAAATATTAGTACTTGTTCACAACAGTCAAATGGTTATGTGCAATCAAGTTGTGGTAGATGTAAGCTTTCTACTTTTGAAAAAACCAAAAGGCTCTATACTTTGGATTGTGGCAAGTGTCCTAACTTTTCTTTAACTATTTCATTTCATTATTGATTTATTGTTCTTCATAAATGCTATGTTTGATCATGAATTGTTGTTTCACATTTGACAGGCTAATGCAGATTTAATGTTTGGAGCAATTACAATTATTTGTGGAATATTTGGAACATTAGCTGGTGGCTATATTCTTGATCGAATGCAAGCTACTATCTCCAATGCGTTCAAGGTTTCAACGTCATGGAATTGATCTTGTGTCTTTTATTGAGTGTTCCTTATACATAGTCATACATGTATTTCTCACAAAATTGATTTGGGTCCAACAAAACATTTTGTCACATTGTTAAAAGATAAATCAATTCATATCAAAGTCTTTGATGCAACATTTTCTGATTGTTATGCTTCTAGTAGCTTTCCTACAATCTCTTCTCATTTTGAAAATCAAATTTTAATGATTTAGACTTTCAATATAAAATGATTCTCTTAGTTTTGATTACAATTTGACTTTTTATGTCTTTTCTATTTCTGCATTTGTGGGTAATTGGTGCACACCTAGGAGCTTGGAGTTAGGATCGAGCAAAGAAGAAAATACGAAGATCCAAATTAGAGAAAGATGCAAAAAACTAGATATAAAAGGAGCACTAGCTGATCTAGGGTTTGAATAAAGTGCATAACAAGATGCTTCATTATACTTGAGTACGTCCCTTATATAAGAAAACCTTAAAGACTTGATCCTGGCCATCCATCTAACCTAATCATGGCCATTCATTATAAAAGACTTTAAATAAACATGAAACTCTTGAAATTACTATTTATGCCCCTAAGTGAATAAAATGTCTCAAAAAATAAATAGAAGACATAAAAGGACAGATTTAATGACCCTTTTTTCTCTACTGCGGTTCCTCTTGTAACTTTGAACTTGTCTCTCTTATCTATATACTCGAGAGCAATACTCTAGGCTGCGTCAGTAATTGCAATAGGTATTGAGTGATTCTATTACTAAAAGTCACATTTGCCTGACTAACAAAAGATAATTGTAGTGTATATTATTGTCTTGTTGGTTTTGATTTTAAATGTATATCATGTTCTTAATGAATAATGTTGTAAAAGTGCTCTGCTATTAATTTTTTACTATAGGTTTTTTTATTTTTTTTGAAATTGCTTTATTATCATTGAACATTTTATTTTATTTTTTGATTTCCAGTTTCTTAGTCTCAGACTTGATGTCGATGGTTAGGAGCATTGGGCCAAGAATTCATTATTGTGATTCCAAAATACAATCTTAACCATCTTTATGAAATAATGTTTAAGACAGGCTATTTAATATCTCACCCAGTTCTCAGTTAATAGAATAAAAAAAAATCTCACCCAGTTCTGTTGTTCTAATTTTGAATAGCCCATCGTTCTTTTGATTTACTTTCAAACATAGTTGTGAGGATCTTGGTCAATTTGTGGTATTCCCCTCTTGGAATCTCGATCAGGCGATTCGGGAGCCGGAACCCAAGTGGTACTCGCTTCCTCCCATAAGGGGATCTCAAATATCATGTCAAGCATCCAATGCGTCTCACTTCAATTTTTCCTTAAATAAATTTCTTGATATTTAAATTATTAAAATTTCATAGATTATATTTTTTTAAACATATTTTTTTATTCATATTTTTCTACAATTGACGAATTTTTTATATTATTTAAATGTGTTTGAAAGTAATGGTATTTTTCATTTAATAACAGTTTCAAAAAATAAAAAATATTATTTTTTATTTATTTTATTTTATTCTCTTAATGTTCATGTCAATTTTGAATGATAATACAAAATCTTTTATTCGATTTCTTATGTAGCTTTATGTCCTTCAATTCTTAAAAAAATTATTTTGTATCATTTCTAGCATTTAATGCATCTCACTTCAAATCTTTCTTGAATCTATTCATTGATTTTTTTGAATTGTTAATTGTTTACTATAATATATAAGTTAACACAAATCACTCTTTAATTTTGTATAAATCATAGTCGTGGTAGGCGTAAGGACGCTAACAGGGGATAGGGT